TATAAGGAGCAGGACACGAGCCTTTGTTGTTTTAAGCCACTGTGATTTCAGGGATTATTTTTTTTCAGTTAAGATAATCAAGCTTATTCTTTTATCATTTTTTGGTCACACATCTGCTGTTATTGTGAGCAGCACATGGGACACTTCCAGCAATCATTAAAAAAAAATTAATTTACCAAAGCAGGGATTCTGTGAGGCTGCCTGGTTGAAAAACCTGGGAGTTCATATGTAGATGTCAACCCAGAGCAGCAAGAGGAGGACCCCAAAGCCCATGAAAAGCGAGGTCACCAAGGAGATGAGGAACTCTTTCTTTGTATATGTCCTGAGTGTACTGGGTGGAGGTGACATCATAAATGAAGAACCATGTGGTGAAGAACATGCTGGTGGCCAAGAGCACCTCTGTCAGATGGGGAAGACAGCTGGGTTCTCTGCTGGTGGGTCTGCTCGTGGCCTCTGGCTCCATTTTGCTGAGTGCTAGGTGACCTACTGCTCTCCACCGCCAATCAAGCTTATTCTTGATTGATATGATCTCTAAAGGGTATCGCTGTGACGAATGGGGGAAAGCCCCAGGATATAGGCTATCCTTTCTTTTCTTACATTAAAATTTTACTGAGTTTCCTATAAGTAGATGTCAGAGCTGCTCTGAAGGGAAATCAGTTTCCTACATTGGAAATCCTGAAATACAGACTGGGCAACTTTTTGAAAGAGATGCTGTAGAAATTGAAGGTGGTTGTGTGAGATATCAAGATGTATATGTTTGGTCTTCAACCCCCTTCTGACACAGAGCTCCTAAAGCTCTTGGAATTGCCTAAGTGATGAGAGGAATCAAAGTGTCCTTTGTTATATTTATGAGGCGAGTTTTGGAAAGCACCTAAGGATGGGAGTTGGTTGTCAGTGAAGTCAACCTTGTGATTAGAGGGTTGGAACTTTCAGTTCCACCATCCCTGACCTATGGGTAGAGGAGAGAGGCTGGAGGTTGAATCAGTTGCCAGTGATTTATTCAAGTATGCCTCTGTAATGAAACCTCCATAAAAACCCGGAAGGAGAAGGTTCGGAGAGTTTCTGGGTTGGTGAACACAGGGAGATTCAGGGAGTGTGACGTGCTGAGAGAGCATGGAAGGTCTGCATCCTTTCCCCATCCCTTGCCCTGTGCACCTCTTCCATCTTGCTGTTCCTGAGTTAAATTCTTTTATACAAACCTGTAAACTAGTAAGTACAATGTTACTCTGAGTTCTGTGAGTCATTTTGGGTGAGCAAATAATCAAACCTAAGGCAGGGTTTGTTGGAACCTCCAATCTATATAGCAGGTCAATCAGAAGCACAGGTGACAACCTACCCTGGACTTGTAACTGGTGTCTGAAGTGTGTGTGTGTGTGTGTGTGTGTGTGTGTGTGTGTGTGTGTGTGTGTGTGTGGTGGGCACAGTCTTATAGGACTGAGCCCTTAACCTGTGGAACCTGATGCTATCTCTGGGTAGTATTGTCAGAATTGTGTTGAATTGTATTAATAGGTCACTTAGCTGGTGTTCCAGAACCGCTTGGTGGTGTGGGGAATCTCTACCAACCCGACCCCACACCCATGTTGGAATTGGTATTTGAATCTTAAATTGGATTGGAGAACTTCAAAGTCGATTCTAGATTTAAAATATTTCAATTTGCAGGTCTCGAGAGCAACTACCAAACCTCACATTTGTGCAGCAGGTATTGTGTATGACGTGTTTCCTCCAGTGTTCATTTATTTGCCCTGCTGTGGATAGCAAGAGGTTTAGTCTACTGTGCCTTCCGTGAAGACTGGCACAGGTGCTGAGAAAAAAATATTTTGAGAAGCACATTAGTTCTTTACCTGAATTTCATAGCTATTCTGATAGGCATGTAATGGTTTCTCATTGTGGTTTTCATTAGCATTTTCCTAAAGGCTAATGATATTAAACATTATTTCATGTTATTTGCCATCTGTTGGCTTGTTGAGTGAAACATCTCTTCATGTCTTTTGTCCATTTTCTCATTGTGATTGTTTTTTTTTTTTTTTACTGGTGAGTTTCAGAGTTCTTTATAGATATTGCTCCTTTGTTGGATATGTAGTTTGCAAATATATTTTCTCTTAGTCTGCAGCTTGTCTTCTCATACTCTCAAAAGGATCTTTGACAGAGCAAATGGTATTAATTTTAACGAAGCCGGTTTAGCTGTTTTTTCTTGTATGGATCGTCTCTCTCCTGGATTATTACAATAGGCCCGCTGTTCTCTCTGATTCCGCCCTTGACTCCCAATAGTCTTTTCTCAACAGAACAATGAGAGTAATCCTTTTAAATGTTAATTTCTCACTCAAAACTCTTCAAGCTTTCCATGTCACTCAGAGTAAAAACCCAAGTCTTGAAAACAGCCTCTTAGGCCCTATATAATGTGGTCCCTCATTATCTCCGTGACCTCATCTCTTACCACTCTCTGGTGCCTTGGCTGTGGCTACACTGGCTTCCTTTGTGATATTCAGACAAGCCAAGCCCCCTCCCCTTTCTCCTCCCATGCAGGACTCCTGCCTCTTCTTTTTGCTTGGAAAATAGAACCTTGGCTCTAAGCTTTGTTATTGCCCTCAGGTCTTACTGAGACAGGGCCTTTTTAGTGAAGACTGCCATGACCTCCCATTTAAAGTAGAAATGCCCCTATTTCCTATAGTCCCAAATTTAGGTTCTTGCTCTAGTTTTCTGCATGGTACTTGTCAATATCTAACCTATCCTTATGTCACATATGATTAAAAATTGTCTATTTTGTCCTCTAGAATTAAGCTCCTTGAGAGAAAATCCTTTCCATTTTGTTCACTAATATTCAACTACAAGGGTCTAGAGAGCCTGGCACATAGTAGGGACACAAGAAGTACTTACAGAATGAAGAATAAGTGAAGAAATGAAGGAATGATAAAGTATGTCCCAATCTAGCTTGGACTTGCTGAGATAAACTCTATTGGTCCTGGCTTAGCGAGCCCGAGCTGGTGCCATTGGAATCATCTTTCCTTTTCTGGAGAGAGGTTCAGTTCTTTTGGAAACTCAGGGTCTAAGAAAGGTACCTTAATAATTCTTCTCCTCAGAATGATGGAATTAGAACTTCTAGTGAAATTTCAACTAATGAAGTAACGATCATCAGTTGCTGCTAATGTTATTTGTTGAAAGGTTGATGGGGAACATTATAGTGGAGGGATCAAATTAATAGCACCAAAAACCTTACTGGTCAATGTTAACATCATTAAAAATGGGACAACTTTATATACTTCTTGTTGTGATGTGATAGGAAGGTACATAGCACCAATTATAAAATAATCATATAATGACAAGAAATTGAATCTAAATATAGTCAATTTTCTGTATTTGACTACCTGTTTACATGGAAATACAGGTAATTGGGGAATATCTTAAATGACATCACAGGAATACAATCAGCCAACTCCAAACTGTGAAAAATTCACAGAATACACAACTTAGTTTCTTCAATAAATAAATGGCAAAAAAGGGGGGGGGGAGAGGGAGAACTGTTCTAGACTAAAAGATGTATCAACCAATTGTAATATAATGGACCTTGTTTGGATCTTGAAATCAATGAACCAGGTATAAAAAGGCATTTTAACACAGTTGGAGGAAATTGAGTGTAGCTTGGTTATTAAGTTATATGAAGGAATTATGGCTAAATTTGTTGGGTGAGATAATGATATTGCTGTTATATTTTTAAAAGGTCTTTGTCTGTTGGAGATAAATACTGCTACATTTGAAGAGAAATGACATAATGTCTGAGGTTTGCTTCGAAATACAGCACCTTCCCCACCTCCCAAAGCACCTAACTAAAAGAAACAAACAAAAAGCTAAAAGAGTATGTGTGGGGGTGGGGACAAAACAAGAATGGCAGAATATTGATAATTGTTGAAACTGGGTGGTGGGTACACGAAGCCACATTCCTGTTATACAATTCTCTTTACTTTGTGTGCGTTTGAAAATTTCTGCCACAAAAGTTAAAAAAAACCCAAAAACTAAAAACCCCCTCCTTACCCCATCTTTACTCAGGATTCTCCAAAAAACTGGAAGATTAATCTCACCAGCAAATCCTCACGAGGCTGCGTTTGCCCTGTCTTCACTCTCCTTCTGCTGACTTTAAGATGTTCTATGGCGCCCTTTCAAATTGGGACCCACCTTAGTCCACTGGGGATTTCTAATGTCAGCAGTGACATCCGGGAATTCATGTCATCCCAACACACCACTAGATCATGGCCGCTGCCTCAAAATGAAGTGCCTCTAATTTTAGATTGGAACCAAAGGGATCCAGATGAGTCGCCACTTATAACTGGTATAAATTTTAGCCCACAAACAGAGGTGTGTGCAAGAAACAGTACGAAAGGTTTTTTTGTGTTTTTTTTTATAATGACACTCAATTTGTATTTTAAGCTTTGATCTTGCAGGTGTCCTGTTTGGATTTCCACCCACCCCTGTTCGGAAATCATACAGGGCCCAGGTCTTGAGGGTGGGGTGAGAGCGTCATCACTGTTTATTGGTGCTCACAGTTGTAGTTTAGATGCCCATCAGCTCGGTTGCCATACCTCCTTTAGGTTTGGTGGCCCCTGTGCCACATGTGGGAGAGGTTGCCGTGATTCTGCTTGTATGCGCAACACAGCCACCTCCTCTTGGTGTGTTGGCCACATCTACCCACATCTACAGCCACACTAGAGAGGCCTCTTTTCCACAATCCACAGACATCTCTCTCTGACTTCATTAGCACCTCTCAATACTCTAGAAGGGAACAGCTAATTTCAAAAACCTTGCTTGTGTTATGTTTCTGCTCAAGGACCATACCTCTCTATCTGTGGAGTTTGGGATTCTAGAAACAAAAGCCAAGATTATCAGCATGCTTTTGCTGCTTCCTGCCTGGCCATGCCCTAACTCTGGCTGACAGAGTCTGCTACCCACTTGAATACAGAAGGGAAAGGGTGAAATAAAGGGAGAAAAGAAAAAAAAAATTAAACAGGAACAGATTAACATCTTAAAATATCCTGGCACGTTTGAAAGATGTGAATTCATCATGGGAGAAGTTCTGTTGGGAGAAAGGAATTGTTCCTGAAAATGGGGCCTGTGCCGTTGGCAGAGACTGTGCTGGACCTCAGTCCACAGAAGGCTCTGATGTCATCGTTGAGGTTAGAGAATCCTGTGGGAGGCCTAGTGACCTTTGAACCTTAACAGCCCTGCGCTGTGGTGGGCCCTGGGCAGTGCTGTGGGTTCTCTAAGTGGTCTGAGGCCTGCAGCCATTGGGGAGTCTCAACTAGTTTTATTTGTACTGAATCATTTCAACGGATTTCCTGAGAGCCAAGAAGGGCCAACCTGTAGGGAAAAGGAGGAGCTGGACATTAGGCATCTTGTAAGGGACTCTTCTGGCTGGTATTATGAAACAGCGACAAAAGAGGAAACATCTAGAAAATGAGGAGGCCCAGGAAACTGCTGAGAAGAGAGAAGGTATGTATTGGGCAGCTTGTCTGGGGCACCAGGGTGGCTGCCAGCCTAAGCCTATTCAGAGAAGGTGGGACTGTGGAGAATGTGTCACCTGGGAAGTAGGGAAAGAGAGACCTGGTGTCGGCTGATGCTGCCATGTCCTTCCAGAGGGCCCCTGTGGCGTGAGTCTGCACAGAAAGCCCAGATGCCCCCCGCACATGCAGTTGGTCCTGCTGATCAGAGCTTTTCTCTCCCAGGGCTGCTCGGGCCTAGAGCTGTGCTGGATTTCTAGCAGGCCGGGGTCCCATGTGCCCAGTTTCAGAGGTGCAGCTTTTTTCTCAGTCCCTTATTCTCTTTATTTGAACTTACCCTGGGCTCTCTGGTAGGGTGCTGACAGGGATCCGTGAGTTGCCCTGTCCATTTATCAAAGAGGAAGGAGAAGCCCAATCAGTTTCAAGGCCTTGTTGAAAAAATAGCTTGAGAATTGAAATGCCTGTGCAGAAGGAGATTGTTTGTTTAGGGGTGGCATCCTATTGAAAGCATGGAGATTTCATTCCTTCAGCAGGAAGAATTTATCAGTTGATCCATGAGAGTTTGTGAATCCACAGGTGTGGGCTTCCCAGGGATCAAGGGAAGGGATGGGCCTTCCAGAGACTAAGAGCAGATGGATGAGGTTGGGAAATGTTGTCAGGGCCCTTTGCGGAGTTCTTAGAGCCGGGCACGTACTTCCCAGGCCATGTGGTGACTATGTGCATTAAATGTGACCAGGGCTCTTGCCCTGAGAAAGGGGGTGGTCGTATGTAGGAGGCTGGGAAGAATGGAGCCTACCCCAGAGGTCCAGCTGGAGGCTTGTGCCCCAAATTAGAGCCCAGCAGCTCCCATGAAGCCTGGGGCCCCGAAGACTATAGGATGAGCCCTGGGAATGGAGGCCTGTACAGTAGGCAGATGTTTAGGCAGAAGCTGGGACAGGAGGGGGGAGGCAATGGTTGTCCCTGCCCCTTACACCTCAGGATATTTTCGGTTATGGTGGGGAGCCATGGGGAGAATGGGGGTCGAATGTTCATCAGACATGTAGTCTGTGTGGTAAGGTGACTGTCATCATGCCTGTACCTGGATGACTCTCAATATGTATAAGACTGTGTACAGGATGCTTCTGAAGGACGTTCCATGAGACAGTCACTCACACACACGCGGGTACACTCCAATACAGGAAGAAATTGCACATCTCCACACACAACTTCTTTATTAAACCACACATAGAGCGTATAGGTATATACACATATCACTCCTGTACTATATTCACACGCAACAAATGTGTATGTATGCTGTCCTCTCTTCCCACACCAAACTCTGGAGGATGTATATATGTCTCTATCAGTATATATTTAAATATAAACACAGCTACCTTCAACTATCTCTAACTACCTCTACAAGTACCAGTCACGTGTCATATACACCACCCACATAACATATTGTGTAGTAATACCAGACCCACTTTGCACAAACCACAAAAAATCTACAGATTTGCCAACCCTTATCAGGGTTGCCAGGTAAAATTCAGGATGTCCAGTTAAATTGGAATTTTGGATAAACCACAAATAATTTTTTAGTATGAGTATATCCCAAATATTGTATGAGACATGCTTACTGAAAATAAGTATGACCCAAACATTGTCTTGGAATATTTACAATAAATGTTATTCATGGTTCATCTGAAATTCAAATTGAACTGGTATCCTGTATTTTTGTTTGCTAAATCTGGCAAGCCTTATATGTTTACCACCAGCTGACACATACGAGTATTTCCTGTATTTCTGTTTAGTGTCTGTCTGACCCTGCTAGAAGGCTCAGCATTATTAGAACCTAGAATAGTGGAAGAGTGCCTGATATATAGTAACTGCTCACTGAATATTGTTGAATGAATGAATGAGTGAGTTGACACCATAAATAAAACTATACCATATAATTGGATTACATGTCATGTAATTCCTGAGTTGTGAACACAATCCATGCACACAAACTCTCCATAGACATAGATACACATATTTTTCCACCCTATTCCCCACACCAAACCCACACTTATCACAGACTTATCTGATACACATCACTTTTACACTCTGACATATTCACAGTTACCACTGAGGCCTACATTCCTAACAGGATACTAACAAAGTACTTGTTGATTATAGTTAAGTATTGGAATATCCACTGAGAACCAGGCTCTAAGCCATGTGTATTCACTGCATCTGACATATGTCAGTCACTCTGTAAATATTTGTTGGACAGATGAATGATTCACAAACATGCCCAACCCACCATATTGCTGAGGCTTTCATAACTTCCTCAGGAATTTCGAAATCACAAGAGGATGCCCCTCAGCTTGGATTAACTGAAGTGGCCAAAGACTGTGACAAAGGGGTAGAGGAGGTCTCCTTTGCTTCTGAATACTTCTCCTGTGTTTCTTCTCCACGCAAGTTCATCCATGGAGGTAAGGGTGCAGGGCTCCTTGGGTGCAGGGCTCCTTGGGAGCATGGCAGGAGGCACATAGGTCCAAGCATGAGGCTCACAGGAAATCCAGGGCAGTTGGAGGTAGTCAGGTTTCTGCAGAGGGAAAGATGGCAGAGCTGTTAGGAGAGCATGGATCTGACCTCACTGTGGGAGAGTGTGCGCTCTGGTGCAATCACGGTGTGGAAGTTGGGGAGCAGAGGCCAGGAAGATCTGGGCTTGAGGTGGAGGGCAGGGAGGCCAGATGAAGCACCTTTGGAGGCACATGTAAGCTCTGCCTTTGCCTGCTTCCAGAGAAGGCCTGAGTTCCTCAGCACAGCCCTTCAGATCAGCACAGGAGCAGGGCCGTCAGCCCAGCCCACACTCCTCACACATCCAGCCACACTCCATGCAAATCCATTCCGAGCGCACACACAGAACCCACAATACCATTCTCCTGCATCACAGCCCACATTCCACAAATAACACACCAATGACATCACAAACTCACGTTCTTCTCATAACACACACCCCACCAGCATCCCACATAGCATCGCCCTCACCACCATACTCCACACGCCTATGTAGAGACACCCCTCCAATACTCCTACACACATGAATGAAAAGCCCACAGATGACACCACATACATACCCCATAATATGAGCAACAACCACCAAACTCATTGCATAACTATGTCACACCACAGTCCCTCTCTTCTGTATTCCACATATCCATACTTGTTCCTTTAGCTTCTGGCATGCCCCATGCACATTCTTATGTTTCTAATTTCCTTTCCCAGGAATCCGGAAATTACATCGAGACAGTCCCCAGCCTAGATCACCCCTAGCCCAGGTTCAGGAACGAGGGGAGACTGCTTCCCCCTCACCACACGTATCCTTCTCGCCCCCTTCATCCTATAAGACCTGTGTGCCCTCTCTGTATGTAAACAAAGAGGAAAGGGGCCTGAAAATATACTACATGCAGGTACAAGTGAGAAAGGGTGTGGCTGTCTCCTGGGAGACAGAGGAAACCTCAGAGTCACTAGAAAAGCAGCCGAGGATGGAAGAGGTGAGCCTGCCTGAGGATGTGAGGGTAGGTACTCCCCTCTCTGATATATCCACCAGAAACCTTCTGTCTGACAGCGAGCCCAGCGGGGAGGAGAAAGAGCATGAAGAAAGGGCAGGGTCAGACAGCCCACCAGGGTCGTCCGCAGTTGAGGAGAGACCCAGGGCCAAGACCCCTGATTGGCTGGTGACCATGGAGACTGGCTTCAGGTGCATGGCCTGCTGCCGGGTCTTCTCCACCTTGGAGGTTCTCCAGGAGCACGTGCGGTTCGGGATCAGACAGGGTTTCAGCTGCCGCGTCTTTCATCTCACCATGGCTCAGATGACAGGCGGTGTGGAATCAGAGAGCACCCAGGAGGAAGAGGAGGAGGAGGAAGAAGAGGAAGAAGAGGAGGAGGAGGAGGAGGAAGAAGGGAAGAAGAAGAGGAGAAGGAGGAGGAGCTGCTCACAGGGGAAGACCTTGGCATGAAGAGGCCCTGGAGCCAAAGTCCAGGCTTTGTGTTTTATTCTCCAAAGGACAGGAAGTGAGCAGGGGCTGGGTCTGCTGAGGGAACGGTACCTTCTCCTGCCAGTACTATCTCTCCAATCCAGGCCCACGTCTCAATAAGGGAGACCTAGGGGCTGTATCAGCTCAGGGCACTGTAGAAGGGGGGACATCTGGGCCCCTTGCTTCTTGCCCAAGTGTTTAATAAAGTCATGATTACGAGTGGGAATTCATCCTGAGCTTTTCAACTCCCACAGGAAGTTCTGAGAAGTTCCAAGGGCTAACAGAGCACTTTTCCTCTTTAATTAAAAAATATCTTTTTCTGTTTTGGTTTTTACACAGCCACTGAGATTCATAGGCCAGAAGATCCTGGAAGATGGTGTGGCCTTCTCTTGGGAGAGGTAAGGCCTGAGGTTGGCATAGACTCCTAAGCCTACACCATCAAGGCCCAGAGGAACCTAAGGCGGGGGGTGGGGTGGCACTGCAGGGCTGCACTGGGTTACCTGGTGGCTCTGCAGCTGCATGAACTTGTAGGAGACCCGATGCTTCCAGGGAATTGACTTCCATGACTTAAATTGACTTTCATGGAGAATTTGGACAGAAATTCTCTCAGTGTCTCCATGGTTGACCTCACTCTAAGAGGCAATTGTGTCAGCAGCCCTTCTCAGCACAACCTGCAGGACAAGGAGTGGCTTGAAGAAAGGACAGGGGGCTTTGTAGGACCAGGGGTTTAAGGGCTGAGAGCCTTTGGCCTGAGCTGGGATCTCACTGTGGCCCATATAGACTTCTGGGAGGAAGGGGAATGTGGAGAGGGAGATACATGAAAGGGAGACCTGGAAAGGTCCCAGAACCTTCGTTTTGCTGTGTTTGATCTGGAAACATACTCACTGTGGTGTGCGTGGTTCTGAGCCTTAAGACCAAGTGAAAGGTAACTGACTAGTAGAGCTCATACTGGATGTTGCCTCTTCCTGTTGCCTCATGTTTTCTCACGTCCAGGGAGAAGATAGCACCATCGAGATAGTAGCGGACAGAATGCCAGTGGTATGAAGGAAGATGAAGGGACCAGTACTCAGTCTAACGTAAACATCATGTGAAATAAAGGCTGTTTTGCAAAACTTTCCTGGATGTATTCTTTAAATTTTTTTTTTAATATGTAAGCAGAGTTTATTAGTGATACATTCTCAGGAAAGAGAACCATGGCTCAGCTGACAGGCGGTGTGGAATCAGAGAACACCCAGGAGGAAGAGGAGGAGGAGGAGGAGGAGGAGGAGCCCACAGGGGAAGACCTTGGCATGAAGAGGCCCTGGAGCTAATGTCCAGGCTTTGTGTCTCCTAAGCCTACACCATCAAGGCCCTACATTCTCTGGCCGAGGTTGGAACGAGAGGCCTAAGCCTCCAGTGTTAGTGATACACGCTCAGGGAAGAGAACGGGCCTAGCTGAGGTGGAGGAGAGGGGAGAGGGAGAGAGTAAGGAGGAGAGAAAGGGGGAGAGAGCGGGGGCAGGAGAGCTCAAGTGCCAGAGAGAGAGCTGGCGCAAAAAAGCTTCTTTAATGAAATTTCTATCTATCTATCTATCTATCTATCTATCTATCTATCTATCATCTATCTATCTATCATCTATCTATTTATCTATCTATCTATTGGGTTGTCAGAAAAATCATGACGTATTTTTTCTATGTTTTTTGTTGCAAAAATGCGTCATGACTTTTCCAACAACCCAATATCTATCTATCCCTCTGTCATCTATCGATTCATTCATCATCTACATCTGTCTCTCCAGTGGTTTATGAATGAGGTTTCCCTAAACACCAAAGATACCCACCATCCTTTTCCAGAAACAGCAGTACCCAAACTCCTGGGATCGATTAGGCTTCTGTGTGACTATTTTCCAAGGCTGGATGCCACATTTTCCATGGGACCCTGACAAGCTACACTAAGTTGAGATGAAGCATTTTGAAAGTAGCAGGTGCTGTGGAAACCATGTCCAGTGGGTCCTGATTGAAAGCACTAAGGGAAACTTCAGAAGGCTGGAGGGTGGTCTGCATGTCTCTCTAGGCCTGGCCTGGACCAGGGACTATTATAATGGTTGCAGCTTCACAAGGCAACACCAGGACAGAGGAAAATCTCTCAGTCTTGAAGCTGTCCATGGAACAGGTTCCTTCCGAGAGTGTGACACTTTTGTTACAGAGCTCAAAAAGAGGCCCTCTGACCACAGTCAGGAATTTGAGGAGGAGATGGCTGTATTGGAAGTTTGAGCCAACAAGATCTGATATTTCCAGTTCTGACATTAATATTTCAATCTGTAAATAAAATTCTTATTGTAGCCTCTCAAGTTTTTGACCCCATCACCTCTGAACTTCATCCTCACGCCACCATTACCATACACTGGACCTAAACACATCTAGGAGGCACTGAAGACTCACCTTGATGCTTGAGGTTGTCCACGGTCTTAAACATGAGGGGGGAGTAATGTTTCTTCCTAAATGAATAGGGAGCCAAAGCCAGGCCTTAGGAAGGATTAATGGAATTAGACGGATATAATTTGAAGTTCAGAGCTTTTGTTAGTTTAAGAAGAATATGGTCTAATTCCAAGTCCCATGAATATTTTTTCAGGGAGTGTAGTAGTGAGTCTTCCATGGGGCTTTATTAAATCAACAATGGTTCTAGTGATCTGGTATTGTCATTATTATTTTGAGGATAATAATAAACCAGCTTCCTAACTGGTTTCATGTTTCCGAGCTTCTCCATCTGGGATTTCATCTGCATATCCATAGCTCTTGCCTCAAGATTCCTAGTGCTTCCTTTGACTATCATTCCATAGAATTCAGACTTTGGGGTTTATGCTTCCCTTCCATACTCACCCTGACCACCTCTGCACACTGTATTCTTCACCTTTTGTTCCTTTTCTCCTGCTCATGGGTCCGCCAGGAATTATCCTTTTCCCCACCTCTTTTCCTAGGTCTACATCACTTCCTTTCCTTTCCTTGCAATGTTTTTTTGACTTCTCTCTTCCACTGACTGCTTCAAACACCTAGGGTTTATTGCACAGAAATTGGTAGGATATTGGTTATAAAATGCTGTTCCTGCTGCGATAGATGCTTCCCTGTAAAGCATGGAGGGGGCACCATGAGGGCCTGTAGGTAGGGTTCAGAGTGTTGCAGGAAGTCTTGCTTTGCTCACATGTCCCCACACGAACTGCATCGACCATGAAGAGGGGAATCAGGGCCTGTGGCTTGAATGCTTTTCTAAGTTGATCACACCAGATCCTCTCTGTGGGGCGACTGACAAAACAGTTTGAGTAAGCCTCTGAGTCTTTGCTCAGAGAAAGGTACCTCAGAGCAGCTTAACACCATATAGAGCTCATCTTTTAAACTGTTGGTTAGGATTCCAGTAAAGTAGATGTAACTGAAATCCACTTCTATGAACTAGAACAGAAAATGGAAATAGATGAGGATTTCTCACAAACAGGGAATGGTCACAACTCTTGCCACACAGACTATCTAGGAGTGGTGCAGCCAGGTGTGACTCCACTGACTGACACGTACACCCTGAGTTTCCCAAGTATCTGAGCTTGGGAGGGTTGGCTGGAGCCAGTGGTCAAGTGCAGGCTGGGTAGTCTCTAGCTACTGATTCTGACCCTAGGCATATTGTCCCTAAAGCACAGTTTCCCTTGTCCCCGGCCACACTGACCTGTCCCTTGGTACTGCCTTTCCTCTCTCTCCTACCTCCCAGTACAGCTGAGGTGAGATTTATTATTGGTTCACAGAAATCTCTTCTGCTCTAGTGTGGCTTCTGCTTTTAACATTCCAGAACCAAGAATTTCCATTTTTTCTCCTTTATTTCTGCTGGTCTTCACCTTTCTGAGGTAATGAACTTAGGGTACCTAGATGACTAGATGTGGGGGGGGGGAAATAAGGGCAAAGAGAAATAATAAAAAATATTCCAGTTAATTTTTCATAGTATTATTCAGCTACATATTTTAAAAACAATTTAGGAGTACTTTAGGGATAGTCTCTTTATAAAAAACTCAAATCATATTGAAGTATTTAAGTATTAGAGTAAAATAAAAGTCCCCCTTCATAATACCCCAACCCCATTCCCAATCCTTCTTCCTCCTGCAGAGATTTTTATTATTAGCTATTTGGTTTCAAGGCCTTTGGTTCATGCATTTACATACATAGGTGTTGTATGTATGATCTATAGCTTTATAGAGATTTTTGATTCTTAAGTTGTTTATAACATATATTCTAAAATTAACATTTTTGATTGGAGATCTTTTAATGTCTTTAATATAAATATTTAATACAAATCTTTAATATAGGTCCATCCCATTTTTAGGTAAGTGTAATTTATTCTAGTGACAAATTATAATTATCTGTTCCCTTATTGATGGACATTTTGAGAAAGATGTCCTGTTTCTCCTGCGATCGTATTGTGATTTTACCTGTTAACCCAATTGCATTTCTTCTAAGTGTCAGTGGGTATCATGAATGTTCAGTAAGATATTTTAAATGGTCTCCAGTTTCCCTCTGGATTATTGACATCTTAAACTCTGCACTTTAGTTTTCCCTCAGTTTCTGGAATTTTGTCATGGCTATTTTTCCACTAAGGTTGAGTAACTACATGATTGATTTCTTTGTCTTCTTTTCCTTCTCTTTCCAAAGTACTGAATTTGATTGTGGCTTATGAATTAGTGCAAAATGCTAGGCTTTGAGTCAGGACATTGGGCCCTTGACTAAGTGATATAGCCTGTCTGGGCTTCGGCTTCCGTCTGTGTAATCAAGAGGCTTGGACTAGCTGACCTTTAACATGCTGTGTTTCCATGATTCACTCTCACTATTGATCTGCTACTTGAGAAGATGGTGTTTTCTCAGGAAGTAAGAACTCCATGTAGTTAACATTTGTTGAGTGGGCTATGTTTGTAATGTCAGCTTGGGCACAATTGAATTGGTGATACTCTGTTTGTTGTATTTACCTTTACATATGCTTAGCGCTAAATACTTTATATAACTCTTGTTACTGTTTTAAACAATATCTTACTTTTTCTTATTTTCTATTACATTTTCTAATTTGTTATTGCTAGTGTAGATGAACTTGATTGATGTTTAAAATTTGTTGATCTTGTATCCATCTACCTTGTCAAACTATCTTATTAGTTCCTACTAGTTTATCTGTGGATTTTTTGGGATTTGCTATATAAATGATGATATTAAATGTAAATAATGTATTCTGTGAATAACTTTTGTTTGTTACAATGCATGTTATAGATACTTTTAAAACACATAATAATCCTTTCTATACCATTTTTTAAGATTTTCTCCTCCCCAGAGGCAACCAACATCAAAGATTTGCAAGTATCCAGTCCACATTTTAATTATTTTCATTATATCATTATATATATATATATATATATATATATATATATAGAGAGAGAGAGAGAGAGAGAGAGAGAGAGAGAGAGAGACCACCAAAAAATTTGTACATATTTTAAGAAAGGAAAACTGTATTAAAATTGTAACACTCAATGTATACTGATTACAGAAGATGAATACAAGTCATGTTTGACTTCTGCAATTACAGGAGGTGCTCAAAGTGATTACCATCAGCATAATTTTAATACAGTTTTTTTTCTTAAAATGTGTATACATGGAATCTAAAGAACTGAATAAATGAGCAAACTAATCAGAAACAGTCTCAAGATATAAAGAAAAACAGGGTTGCTAGATGGGAGAGGGGTGGGGATGAGGGAGAAGGGGAAGGGATTAGAAAACACCAATTGGTAACCACAATATTGCCATGGGAATGCATTAGACAGTAAGGGGAGTATAATTAATAATGTTGTAAAGATTTTGTAGGGTATCAGATGGGCACATGTCTTATTAGGGAGACCACCTCATGGATGGTGTAGATGCCTGATCACTGCAGTGTACACTGCAGCTGAAGCTGAATAATACTGAATATCAACTATCATTTAATATACATATCATATATATATATATATATATATATATATATATATATATATATAGT